TGGATTTGAAAAGAGGAGATGTCTGTAAAGCCCTGGAGATAGCATTTGGATTTGGATATGTTTGGATGGATTCAACATGAAGCACTTCAATGAAGAAGTTGTTTCTTCGTTCTTAAGATTCGTTCTGGTGTTTTGGTCAAGGATTTGGGCTAGGGGAGAAAGCGAGGAGCTGTGAGGTTTTGCTCACTCAGCAGGAGGATGTGGAATGGCTTGGCAAAGGACTCCACACTCTTCTACAAAGCGAGCCTGACTTGAAACGAGGCGATCTTCAACCGTGGCAGTGGGTCAAAAAGAACATTTTGGTTGACCTACCTGGAAGGTCAAGCTACATGGTGTGACCAGGCTCCAGGTTTTGATCCGCCCTCTTCAGTAAAGCAATGTGAAACAGTTTGTAGAGCTCTATTAGATGTTCAACCCATTCCCTTCGAGAAGATGGTGGAACCAGCAGGCATCAACTTCTGCTAAGATCGACGTCACTCGAAGCAAACAAGTCATCCAGGACCACAGAACTCCTCACGAATATCTTGAACCTCCACCACTCCACCAGTGATAGATATATGGCCATCTGGGTTCGCATTGTTGCACCGCCCATCACAAACACCATCCAACGACCATCAGTTATTGTGATGGCTTCTAATCTTGCTCAACTCGTAGGTCGCTGGCCCCCAAAACGCCTGGCTCAAAATGAATGGCAATGGCCAGGAAGACCAAAGCAAATCACTCACCGTGGCTCTGGTTGCCACGTACTTCCTGAGGCATGCACGAAGTAGCCGTTGCCGACCGGACCCTCCGACTTAGAGTCGAACACAGCCGGAGTTGCCGACCTAAAGGGTGGATCCGTCAATCCCTAGGGATTGGAACATGCCATCCATTTTTTGGGGAACTGCTTTCATGCAGTGTTTCGCATATATGTGACACCCTAGGTATGCCAGCTATGCCAGGTATCCCTGTGCTGTCTACATGTCAACTCGCCAGTGACCAGTGACGAGTTCACGGACGACGGACAGAACCGATTCCCCTGTCCAACTCTCGGATTTGTTCAAGGAACCCGGAAAAAGACATACTGCATATTCCCTCACAAGGGGATTTAACATATATTGTAATATATGGTACTATATGTTATATTGGGAATACATGGGAAGACAAACACCACCCGATCCAAACAAATCCACAACTCCAAGCTTCGACAGCAAAGTCGCCCTCGTCGCCGTCGATCTCGGCCCTTGTCGCGACCACTCCTGGCGCTGCCACGAAGCGAACGACGAAGACGAGTGGAAAGGACGCTACGTTCGGGGCTCCTGGCCGTACTACTAGGAACTAGAAGCTACGAACGGAACAAGGGCATTTCTACTAGAAGCAAGGACGCTACTAGTAATGAATTCTTCATCATTTTCATCCCACTGCAGATTTGCGAGTGATGCAGCACCCCATCACCACGCGATGCCCACGCAATGCATGCCCTGGTGCCCACAGCGCAGCAGGAGTGTTTGCCGTGACAACATGTGACAACTATACATGCAGTTTGTATAGTTGGCAAAAAAAATGAGGTTTGGGTTGACTCACCTTGAAAGAACACAAGCAATCTCCTCCCTTGCTTGTTGAGTTGTAGTTCCTTCGTGCTGCACCTTACTCATCCTTACGCTTACGCACCTCCTGAAACATGATGAAAACACAAAACACCAGTTTGTGGGCCAAAGTGCTCGTGTCCAAAACATTTGAACATGTGAGTTTTTGAAAACGTGGAAAAAAACTGGAGGCCTCCAGGGCATCCCCACTCCTGCAGCCAGGCCATCGCCAAGTGCCCCAGTGGGCATCCGCTGTACCAGCGCTCACCCAGCTCCAGGGGGACCGGGAGCGGCAAGACTGGCCACCTGGTTGAGAAGAGGAGATCGACGTTGGAAATGGAGGGACAGGATGATGGCACCCATGATACCCACCTCCAAGAGGTGTTCTCTTTGAGATTTGAGTTGAGATAGAAGATATAGAACCACATCAGGTTGTGTGGATATGGAACTTGAAGGATAGAAACCAATTAGAAACCCGTCAAGCCGAGTGTTGACCGAACGCCGGAAGGGGCGCAGTGCCTGGCGGTGGCCGTCGCATCCCAAAGCTCGTCTCGCAACTGGTCCCAGGAGATGTTCTCCACCAGCCCGACACCTGGAGTGGCATAGGTGCGGAGGTAACTTTCATCCACGCCATGAAGAAAAACAAGGGCCAAAGCGGCCAACACATGGGTTTCGGGGTGTTTTTTTTGCCTAGGGCAAAGTGACCGGAGGAATGCACAAGAATGGTTGTTTTGTGGTGTTTTCAACGAGACAGTCTGCAAAATTGCTTGACACACCGTGCACTCATCTTGATCAGATCGGATCTTCGTTCAGAAAGTTTAATCACAAACACACACACACACACACACACACATGTGAACACCCACAGAGCTCCCCAGTGTATTACACCCAGGTTCTGCAGTTGGTGGAAACGTGTATTGAGCTTGATGAGCATCCTAAAGCTCCAAATAGGTCCAATCTACATAACTCATCTACAAGTTACAAGACCTGGATATACCTGGATATACAAAAAATGGCTTATACCGTATACCCTTCAAATGAAGTAACTTAGGGTATCGCCCACAGTCAAGTTGGGATGAACATCCGCCTCTCCCGATGCCCCAGGCGCATGAGAGCTGCGGGTTGTACGCGGTGGCCGTCGTGGACAGCAGAAACGCTGTGCTCCACATCTGGCTGTCATCATATTGAAGGCTCCAAGATCATGCACAAGGCTGGCAGGCTGACAGGTCATGATTTGAGTAGGACAAAACCCCTGCAAATGCCAGTGTTCCCTATAGTGATATGGTGGTTCAGGTTCATCTCTCAGTCTGGTAGCTACTGTACACCAGGAAAATCCTTGCAACACATCCGGGGAACAACAAATTCACCATGACACAGACTGCCACGACTGGTAACCTGGCAAAGTCCTTGCAATGAAGGTTTCCCAATGGCACAGCGTGCTTAATGCCCATAGATTTTAAGTGTCACTTTGCTTGAAAGTCGTCTGGCACAGCGCCGAGGAATATCGTTTTGTTGGGAACCCATGTTGGATCAAAACGCTGTGGTTTGCATGGAAGGGCCAACTACCTGTCAATACCTTACTGGGTTTTACATGTAAGTAACATGTTTTACTTACTTCTTCTTTGGAGGTTCTTGGAGCTACCAGGTGATGTATTTCTGGAACCACACATACGGAACACATACCATACATCACAGCTGTCCGAACACGTGGACAGGGACACTCTCTCTCTCTCTCTCCCTCCCCTGAGTCGAGTCGCAGCTTCGGATGGTGGGTGGTTGAGTCGTGTCTCGAGAGTGAAGAAGCGCATGGTCAGTGTGGCTTCGGGGTGTCTCGAAACCGGAAGAACATAAGGGAAATCAGAGAGAGACATAGAGAAAGAGACTGAAAGCTAGATTCTCAACTTGATGAAAGGGTTGCCAAGATCGTCGAGCTGCTTTGACGCTACGTCTTGACTTGCTTTACTTAGTGCATGGTCTTGAGTCACAAAGAATTGCATGTGAGGACATGGTCGTTGCCAAATGACAATTTACGCAACACGCACTCAAACAGGCAGCAAAATGAACCAACAATAAGCAAACCGACCTTTCCTACACACAAAGGCCCTGTGCCCTATGCGCCTGTTGTTGTTCCTATACTCAAATCTCCATCATGCAACATTGTTCCAAACAATGAGAACACCCGAACAATAATGGACGTCTAAGTTTCAGAACTATGTACTATGTCATCCTCTTTGGACTTTCAGTGGACATTCACCTTGGTGTTTTGCCGTTTGGATCTGGTGTTTCAACCAAAGCTTCCACACAGCGGCCGTGCGGGGATACCCTCCCGTCCGGTCCCTGCGCTGTTTTTTCCCTTCGCTGGTGCACCGACGGCGCTCGGCCGGCGCGGCCGGCGCTCTTTGCCAGCTCCGGTTGGAAGAGTGGAATTCCGGTGTCCATCGCGGGTTCCGCTTCTGGGTTCCATGGGGGATCAAGGGGGATTCGTTGTTTTTCTAAGGCTCCCAGGCGAAGATGAAACACCTCATGATTGTGTAATATTGTGTACAGTAGTTGGCTGTAGAAGTGAAGAATGATGAAGAGATGTGTTCTCTGGCAGTTGAAGGCAACTCCAGTCACAACAAATATTGGCAGCATTCAAAGAATAAGAATTTGCACATTGTAACACTCTGAGACGATCATTGCAATGCAAGGTTGCAGGCGCATACACTTTGCGATCAACAAGGGAGCTGAGTCTTCATATCAGTCTTATTTTAGTCTGCGAGGGGCTGGTTCTTTCGACGAAGGTTGCAGCAGCTGCCCACAGAATCCTAGTAGCGGCAAACTGCAGCGAGGATTTCTTGCCTCCAGCACTGGTAAAGCAGTGGGAAGTACATAAATAACATAAACCTCGCAGAAAAGGATGCATCTGGCTGGGGATATTCAGGTACATGACTGGATATGCCATTGACTGGTGGTTCCATTTGAGCCTATCAGGTCAAGTGATACACGTCCGATATGACTCTGATTTCGTTGAGCCAGCGACCAAGTGACCCCAATCTAAGGAGCTCCAAAAGCAAGAATTGTTTACCACATGTAATGGATAACTGACGACGGGGGGTGGTGAACGTCCTGGGGCGCTGCTTGGCTCCTTGCTTCAGGGAAGAACTGGACCTTGCTGCGGCCTAGTGTAGTCGCTCCCTAGTGTGGTGGATGTATAGGGACCAATCTTCATGCCTCAACACCTCGTGCTTATAGAATTACTTGCAGGTTCTCCTACTGCTGTAGGATTTGCAGATTCTCTACTACAGTTCAGGGGATACACCAACTCACTTGAGGATCCGCGTGTCTCACCTGTTATTGCAAGTTATATATATATATATTATATACTACCTGAAAATGCTCCTAAAGCCCGAATCAAGGATGAACAGAATGGATCTGCTTCTGGCTGCTGTTTCTTTATGCGATGACATCGGGATCCGGCAGCTTGTACGACCCTACCGTGGTATAGCGCACAGGTGGCACTGTCAGCAAACTCATGGTCTGGCGGCAGGCGATACCTGCGCAGGCGAGACTCGTCTGTCTTTGGTTATCGGTGAAGGAAGTGAACGGTCACACAGGGTCACACACGGGGTTCCACCGGTCGTTCGTGAAGAACCAGAAGCAAACATGGCCCGTGTTCGCTCCATGTATCAAATCGCTACCAGGACCATCCTGTGTCACCTGGCTGGGACACCCAGATGGTCAGATGGTCCTGGTATATACCATGACCCTGACATCAATGGTTCTGGATGTGGAACGTACACCGTCTTTTACTCACAAAGAAGAGATTGGTCACGACCCGAGCGGCCTGTTCACCGGGTCATCCCTGGGTAAAAAATGCTCCTAGTAGTGTCCTTGCTCCTAGTAGTAAGGCCAGGAGCCCCCTAGTAGCTTCTTGTTCCTAGTAGCGATGCCAGGAGCCCCTAGTAGCGTCCTTGCTCCTAGTAGCGATGCCTTAAAACTGGTTTGTGTGTCTTTTTTCCCCCAAGGAGAACAGTCACCATCCAGGCCAATCCGGGTTTTCTTGGGACGTGGCAGCAAGCGCTGAGCAAAACGTGTTGAGAAGAGGGACTCAAGTGTTTTCCAAAATCCTTTACTGGACTCCCTGAGTTTCCCTAAACGAATTTCAGGTTCAAACTGTCCACCCATGTGCTGCCGGTCGTCGGGTGGCCACCCATGTTCATCCCCAAGAACTCAAGAACATTTTAGCAGGTGATCCACACTCACTGGGGTGCTTCAAGATGGATGGTGGGTCATCCTGCAACAACAAATGGAAGTGGTCACCCACACCCCCAGTCTTTAAAGGAAAAACATCACTCAGGACTCACGACATTACTTCATCCGGGGGGTTCACGCCATCCACTTCCGTTGCAAGGAGGGCCACTTCATCACTGGTCACTGGTCACCACTCCCAAACCTCATGGTGTCCCAGTCCCTACCCCTTGCTCCATCCTTGAGCATGTCTGAATCCACTCCCGATCACCTCACCACTCCCCCAACATTCGGGCCTGGGAAACCGGCGATGCGTTTGGCCAGTTCACTGGCCGCCCGCGCGGTTTCGTCCTGGCCGGGACGTGGAACTCTTGTTAGTTGTTCAATCTTTCTGGGAGCATGATTGTTCTTATTAGTTATTATTCAACAATCTGTTTTGGCCAGAAACCTTTGGAACTTCTTTCCTTCCAACTGCCCTGCCTGTCTTGCACCAACAAAACACATTCTCCCAACACGAACGCTCTTAGACCGCCGAGTCGCAGGTCGCAACAGTGGAGTCAAAAAGGAACCCAAACAGTGGAGCCCCTCGCATTCCCGACACAAAAGCATCGAATCGGCCGTTCCTTCTTCCTTCATCGCATCCCCCTCGCGCCTTATTGGGCCGGACCTGGTTGAGGATGTTCAGCTCCTGCAGCGCTTGCGCGTCCAAGGTGCCGCTGCTGATGCAGAGCTGCGAGGCTAAGGCGGAACCCACCAATTCCCCAAGGCACTCCTGGAGCGACGGGTCGGAGCGAACAGCGGTCTTCCTTCGCCGAAGTCAGCGAGTCGGGTTGGAGAAGAAAGGGGTCTCTGAGAGTCAGGCATTGGATCTATGGATTTATTAATACTGTATATTTCTTGTTACTAATATGGATTGATGTGTTTTAGAAGTGTTTTAGATATTCAGTATCCACGGGAAGTGTGTTTGTTCTAGAGGAACTAATTGGTCTTTCACTCAGGGCCCGCGAAACCAGTCACTTCCATCCTTGTTTCTGGGAGGGTCATGCCATGCTGATTCTTTCCTGAGGAATCAGCTCCTTTCTGGGGCAGAAAGACGTGGGGCTCAAGTTGCCGAAATCGTGACCTAAAGGCTTTGCTGGGGTCACTACTACTCAAAAGTCATATTGTGTGTTTTTTTCTGTCGGTTGAGATATCTCAGCAGCTTGTATTGACTTGCTGACCAATGAGCTGCAGAGTAGAGTGTGAAGCATTTTGAATCCACTGGATGTTGGATCTCCTCAAACTTGGCCTGCGGCCACTGGCCCCTGTCTCTCTCCAGACCACCCCTTCCCCCTGTCTCTCACCACCCCTTCCCCCGGGCCGGTGGTGAGATGATAGGCAAGAGGAAGTCAGTGTCATTGGAGCAGATTCGGTAATCACAGCCCAGGACCAGTTGCCATGAAGGTCCAGCAATCTTGCCTGGCAGTGTGTTTGTTTGATAGGGCGGCATGCAGTATTGCCATGGATGTCGCTTGATCTTCTAGGAAATGATGTCAAAACGGAACAACATAGGGATGATTCCATGTTGAAAGGCGAACCATTAATGCTCTACCGATTTGGTGATTACGATAGAATAAAGATCAATAAAGTACCTTGGAAGCATTGTGCGACAGGGTTCGTGAAATAGATGTTTGCTGCCAACACAATCAAACATTCCGGATTCTATGCATCCAAGCACATACCAGGCAAAACACATACCAGGCATCCCTTGGCCCAGATCTACAGTGGGTTTCAGCGTAAAAAATCGATTGCAGCTCTCTCCAAGGTCGACCCTCTACCCATACAGGCACGACCAGTGCGGAAGATCGAGCACCAACGACACGGTGTTCTGCAGGTCGGCTTTCTCGGGCGACAGGAGCCCAGTGGTTCATGGAGAGATTGCGTGAAAAGACTCCAAAGTTCTTCAGCTCATCAAGACTTTTCTGAAGAGAACAGATGAGCTGATCAATCAAGTTCCAATCAAGTTCGTCATCATCAATCATCAGTGATTGGGTTCTCTTCAGTTCCAGTGATTCTCAATCAAGTTCCAGTGATTCTCAATCATCGTGCTCAGTTGCACCAAGTATACTTGTGACGAACACCAAATACTATCGAAGATACCATCGTTCCGCCGTCCGTCGGCGTGACTGGAGTCAGAGGGCGAGTCTGTTGGGTTCCTGGTGAACACTCCCTTGAACTGGATTTGGAGTTCTTTTCAGGGCCATGCCATCCACTTCCAGTTCTAAGTTCCAGGGAGTGTATGTTCAGGCCAACACGAGAGTTCGGCCGAGTGTGCCCAAATCCATCAGACACACCCATCTTCTGAGCCGAGTGGGAGAACCACATCTCTGGGAGAAGCTGGTTGTGGAGGCATGGTTGATGAGTAGACTTCTGAAAACATCTGAAAATCTGAGTCTCCCGCAGATTCACGCGAACCCGTCCATTCACCACGGTGCGTTTCTTCAAGATCACATCGACTTCCGTTCATGTCAGGATCCGAACATGCACGGGGGTTCCACCCAATCCGCCAAGGTGCCACAAGCAGCCAGGATGATGGGAATACCTCACCCCACCGTGTGAAAGTCTTCCTTCGTGCTACCAAAAGTTCCCCCAAAATCATGGACTGGCTGACTGGCTCGGTGCTTTCAATCAGGAGCTACTAGTAGCTTCTTGTTCCTAGTAGCAATGCCAGGAGCTACTACAGTAGTAGCTTCTTGATCCTAGTAGCAATGCCAGGAGCTACTACAGTAGTAGCTTCTTGATCCTAGTAGTAATGCCAGGAGCTACTAGTAATCCATAATAATAAGGCTAAAACGATGTTGAAAGTCTGGTTGTTGACAACTGGACGTCTCGCTAACGCAGTCTATCCATTTGGATATGGCACAAGTGCAAAGCTATCAACCCCTAACAACAAGCAACAACGAAAGAGTGAGTCTCAGCCATGGTGGGATCATTGTCATGGGTATATCCTATTCCCTGGGCCCAGTGGATGATAATGGTTAGGTTGCAAGCCTTTCCATCTCTAAAATAGTGATTTGCTTGTGAAACCCGTGGGCATTTCAGCATGGCAGGCCAATGGACTTGCCAAACCCAAACACCGAAAATCATCCACGACCCCCCCTACTGGGGGGATTTGGGCGGGCCGTTACTGAGTTTGGCACCATGGCCGTGGCCGTTGGATTCAGACTGTTGATTCAGAAATCGCCACCCTTCCCCAACAACGACACAGGGATGGTAAAAAGCTCTGAAGGATTTATTTGGGGGTGAAGGCTTTGATTTAAAGGTTGAAGACTCCATTGTATTTCAATCCCCCAAGCCTGAAGAGGTTTTGAAATCCGTGGGACATGGTGAGATTTAGGAATCAACAACAGTCGAAATTACTGAATCATGCAGCAAAAACAAAGAAGTTGATATCCATTGATCACACCTACTACCATCACCTATACGAGCTACCATCAACGTCTCACCGTCTCTTCGCATGGACCTGTGTTCACCTCTGCTCAGGACTCACGTGTGAAACAAAACAACTCCGGACGCGCCAAGCTGATTGGTGTTTTCAACCCACTTGACTTGATCTATTCCCAAATGATTCCAAGTTGTCCCACGCTAAAGGTTCAACAAACATATCAACCACCAACGAAAACACATCTCAATTCGAACCCGCACCCAGTCGTTCTCACAAAAAGAAAAAGACACTTCACAAGTAACACACATATTATGTTTCACCTCTCTTTTCAAACCAGGTCACTCAAGGATCGCAAGCCCACCAAGAAGTTCCCACTACTCAAGGCGTAGCTGTGCATCTTGCTGGGTCCCACCAAACCCTCCAAATGCATCACCACTGCCTTCGTCCGATTGGACAATCAGTCGTGACATGTCGCGAAGCGATCGTGAATGAAGACGAGAAGACGATGTAGCGACGACGATCCGATTGTTTTGGGGTCAAGCAGGGTGCCCAAGTTTGGACCCGCCACTTTGATCCGTAGCATCGTCCACTATCGTCCACTAAGATGAGGCATTTCAGATTTCACAGCTGCACTCAGCTGCACTAGCTTCTGGGATCCTGATTCATGGACAATATGTCCAAAATACATCTTTGAGAAACACATCTTTGGCAACTCTTGATCCTCTGTCTGTGTGTTAAGGAATCTGCAAAGATTGAAAGCTCTGCGAACATGGGCCTACAACGTTACGTGAAATACGGACGACCAAGCCCATGGAGCAAAACCTGCACACCGGTGCATGCAGGCCAAGACCTTAATGATAAGTCCTTATAACTTATATACATTAGTCAGCTATTGATTTGCATACGTTGTCATGCTTGCAACCCGCCAGGAGAGTTGTTTCGATCGACATGCGTGCTCAAGAGGATGCTCTGACACAGAGGACCGCCGCTCTGCTTCGAAAACGTCCATTGGACCTGGATGCTCAACATCTTCCACCTCTTCGAACCAGTTCCGTTCACACATCCCGACGTCAACGAACCATAGACCCGGGTCCGTACCCTGGCCCCCTGGGTCCGAGTGGTTTTCCGAACTACCAACCGACGTGGTTTTGAGGGTCCATGGCATCGTCTTCCAGATTGTGACCTTTGGACTGAAGGCGTATTCCCCAACCTGGGCGTATTCCAGGCCTTCACGTTGTTCCGCGCGCGTTGCATGTTGTGGAGTGTGGCCACCGCTGCTTCCAGCGACTCCTTCGCAGGGGCGAACGTGTCAACAGAACTGCCTCTTCACTTACACCATGGAACCTGAACCATGAACCTTTAGAAGACTATTTTCTCTAGGGCGTACTCTCCTAGCCGGCCTGGTTGATGCTCCTCCCCTTTCACTGCCCTGTTGATCTCAGTAGTGGAGACGGTTCTCAGCGCTATGTTTATAAAGTGTACTCTACCAGGACACCCTAAGGGGTGTCTATTGATAGCTCCTTAGAGGTTAAGGGGTGTCCATTAACCATCCCTTGTGGGTCCTAGTACATTTAATGATAATTTTGGGCCTTTCTGAAATTCCACGCCGACTTGCAATTTTTCTCGACGGGATTTTTGATTTACTGCTCAGCATCATATCCCATCCTCCAGGAAAAGGGGCAGAATCGTCTCAACTAGCTCAAAAAATCATCTCAATATATCTCAATTGAGAATGTCTTAAACGAAAAGAACAAAAACTGTCAGAGCACAAGCAACACTTGTCCGGACAAAGAAACGCTTGAGCGTGAAGAAAATCACAGCTTGCCCAAACAAAAACGGATCACTGTCTCGTCCTGCGAAGACATTTCACTGATCTCCTTGGCTTCGAACTTTGTGAACTGCACGAGTGAACTTGTCAAAAGAAAGAAACCACTGAGACTCGAATCATCAGGAAGCTGAAAACTATGGGTTTCGCAACCCGCTGAGTAGTATTGCATGTTTGTGTTTTCAAATTTGTTACTTGTCTTGGTTGGTCTTCCTTGCAACCTTCAATACATGATCGGAAACAAAAAAACATAACAAAACAACTGATGAAGGCACTATTTTTGGTCGCCCCGCTGGGTGACTGAAAACAGCATGAATCGAAGCGCCGTTGTCGTGCGACGTTTGCTGCCAGGTCACCAAGTGCGCACAGTTGAACTCGTCGAAGAACACCCTCGACGGCTTGAGTCCGTTTTGGTCGGAGCTTGGACAAAAGAACACACGGCTCCGGCCGTGTGGATGAAAGAAAACCTATATATATATATAAGAATCCATGATAAGGTCAAGTACCAGAACACCCTAACTAAGGGGCTTCGATTGATAGCCCCTAAGATGTGATTCGGGATGTTCATGAACCACCCAACTCCTGTGGGTCCTGCTCTGGATGATTTGCTTACATTGGGATGGTCTCCTCCGATCATGGAGGGTCTGGGACATGCGATGAGGCTGGATGAGGCTGCCACTAAGATCGACTGGCGACACACTTGGCCTACCAAGTCCCAAGTCCCAGCCTCTCTGCGTTCGGCAGGGTTTCAATTAGAAAAGGGCATAGTGCAAGACTGTCTCCTAGTGCAGGGGTGGCTTGCTGAGTTTTGTGGCATCTCTTAGAATTTGAGCCATTCAAGCATCTCGTCATGATGATCCGCGAACCTCCACCCGCTACAACTAGATCTTCACATGTCCTCCATTTCTTCCTATTTCTTCCATCGCTTCATGTACCTCCTAGCTGTGCAGGCCGAGGACCCAAACGCCCCATGTGCGGACCCTACGTGGGGTCGACACCCTTCGACCATCTTCGACCGGCCTGGCCTGGCGGAGCTGGGCTCCAAGCTCTTCAGCTGCGTGTGCGCCAGAAGCTGCCGCGCCCGCGCTTCCCCGCAGACAGCACTGCAGCGCTTCAATGCCTGGGTGGGGAAGAGGAGTTCTTCGGATGAACGAAATTGGCCTCAAAGGACAGTCTGCCTCCTTAGGTCTCAGTCTGCCAGTACAATCAACTAATTAATAAACTATATTGTAATAATTCCAATACTTTCCAATACTTTCCATATAACTACTGGGTGTGAGAAACAGAAAAGCCCTTCTTCTCTGATACAGCCGTCCTGTATCACTCCGAACAGCCGGTCCGGTCCTCAGTCCGATCGAAGGAGCTTCACAGCGCACAGCGGACTTCACTCATTCACCTTCTTCGTGGACATTGCGACTTCGTGTTGATTGAATCCGATTGAAAGCAGCCCAACGAAATACCAACATATTCGGTCCCATTCTTCATTGCACTTCCGTGACCAAACAACAGAAGCGCGACAAAAGCCCGCGACAAAAGCGCGGGGAGCGGCGCGCGGTTGCGTCCGTCGGTCGCCGTCAGCTCGGACGGCTCGGCTCGGCGTCCGGGCAGAGAAGGATCGGATCTGTTGAAAGATTCGAAGTGCCTCCTGTGTGTTCGATGGGCAAACAGAAGAGAAGGTCGCAACTGAACACCTGCCACGCGATGTGTTAGATGTTTTGAATATATTATATTAGTCTTGTTAGTCTTGAAGATCCAACGAACATCCAAGAACTGAACACCATGTGTTTGTTTATTTCTTTTTAGGTCTTCTTATGTCTTCTTTATTCGGGGGGGGGCGGCGGAGTGAACCACATCATTGATACGTCTTGATGTTACTGTTGTACTGTTCTTTTTGTTGTGGGGTGAGTTCGACTACGCGATAAAAGAGTTGCCTAATGGAATCAATCGTATTTCAGATCCTTGGCAAATCTGCCATGCTCAGCTACTCTGTTGGACATCATCTGGCATTTGTGGCAAAGGACCTGTGGAAACCACTGAACACAAGCGCAAAAGTCGCTCGCGCAACTCCCGCGGTTTTGCGTTTCTCCTGCGACTAGACTGCCTTTCAAGCATGCACAAGAAGGCTTGCTCTGACAGGAATCGGATGAGTAAGGGGCATAGCTTGGGATGTCTACTATCCTCTTCAATGGTGAGCATCCCAGACTGATTTCAGGGCTAATTACTTGCTTTTCTTTCTAGGGCTATTTGCTCCGTGCCGCATAGCTCAACTAATCCAACAGTTGAAGAATCCCAAGTTCTGCATATAGCTACAAAAAAGAAACACCAACAAAGCAACAGCGTTCCCACAAGAAGTTGGCGTTGCTTTATTATCAAACCTCCTCATGAGCTTTGTCCATCCCATTCCTTTTCCTGCTGACGCCCATCTCCTTAGCACTCTTTTCGGCTTCCAAGGCATCTTCCATCCGCAACTGGACGGTGGCCATGCAACACAGAGCCACCCCCCTGCCAGGCGGAGCTTCAACCCTTCGAAGGTGAAATAAAACAGTTCCTTCGTGCCGTGCATGTCAATTGGTGGGCTTGCGACAAGAAGATGGACGTGCTTGTGACCAGCAACGGGGTTTCGTGACCACCAATGAATTTATATAGAATGAAATGAACACATATGAACAAATGCAAGGACCTTAGCTCTTTAAACCGCTAAGAAAAGAACAAACTCTGAGGTTGACTCACTCTACCCTCATCCAGATCTTTCGATCACTTCTTTGGGTCCGTCAAAAAAACAACAACAACACAAAACACTACTTCCTTAAGCAACAAGCAGGCATTTTCTGTCTGCAGTGACTGGTCTTGTGGACTTTGTTTCTTCTCTTCCAATCCTCAGGAATCGCTAGGCCAGGCCACTATCCACTATAATATAGGCTAGCCTCTATTAGCGATGCCACTCGCCACTCGAAAGGACCGGATCGTTCATGATCTCTCAGGAGGGAGCAGCCAACGCGAAGCAAACGATGCGAGAGATGGTCAACATGGTTCCCTCACGTTTCCCTCGAGACATCTTCGGAATGTCCATGTGCACCGACTCCGCGTCTTCGGAATGTCCAAGAACTTGTGACAAGCAAAGGGCTAGGGTTTTGACCCATTTACATCGAATGAAATCGGACTTTCCATCTCTGGTCACCTTTGCAGTTCCCAGCAAGCTCGCGGCCGACCTCTCCTATGTTTATAGTGATATGACGGCCGTCGAGTCATTTGATACTCCTGATACTTGCAAGTATACCCAGTCTGGGCAGGAATCAAGGAACCAAAATGGTAGGGGCCCATGTCCAGAATTGGAAACACCACCCTGGCCATCGCTCGCCTGTCCCACGCCACAAGATGCCTGACGGATGCGAACACGGGACGGACGGACGGACGGATTCGTTGGATTCGTTTCGCATGTTCTTCGACGGGTTTTTACGGGTCCATGGTCAGTCTGCTGCTTCTTCCATATTCTTCCATGGTCGGTCTGCTCCGTTGTCCTTCACCCCCACCAGAAGTCCCACATACGTCTCAACGCCGTGCCCTGAAGCTCTGCCACGCCACACCAACTTCAGTCGTCGAACACG